CCCCATCTTCCACAAATCAGGCCTTTTTTGTCACACAATTTTACACAATCATTTCAGAACCTCTAAATAGAAAGCTTGATTAACAGTCTGACCTGGTGTAACAAACGCCAAATGCACGACAAGTCAACATTTTTGCCCAGAATGATGTTTGTCATCAATCGACATTTTCACCTTTTTGGAAATGAGAAGGTCACTCGTACACTTGAGTTTTTCCCATAGCGTTGTCCTTGTAAGCTGTGTTCAACATCACAATAATTTCTGTGGCAATCTTCCCGAGAAGGACACAAAATTTCACAGCCACACACTGTTCTCTTAAATCGAACATCACAAAATACAAAGTTGGAGTGAAGCTGCTTTTACAGAAAAATTCACTGTGAGCAGAGAGACCCTTCCCAGGTGATGCCAGCGGGTGCACTAACTCAGAGCGAGTTATTTGATGCTCGCCTAGCAGGACCACCAGGAAAGCTCTGCAATTCCATTTTGGTGGGGTACACCCTAGTATGTATGCTGTATTTTAATGATAAAAAGGGGGGGGCAATGGGTATCTAGGAAGGAGCTAGGGCTGGGTTTGGAACAACTCCAAACCCTTAGTAATACCAGTTTTTTAACTCAAGGAGGGAAGAACAAGATCTGTGTCATTTGTCACATTGTAAAGATAAGTTCCAGGGCTCAGGGTGGCCCTAGGTGTCATCTGATCCCTGTTGCCCAGACCAGGGAGTTGAGCTGCAGGTAAAATGTGACTTTCCCCAGACCCTTGTGAAGCAGAGCTGGACCCGTGACTCGTGGTCCAGTACTCTGTCCACTTCTCCACCCTTTGTTCACCACAGACTGAGGAGAGGCTAGTCTGTCCTCCCGAGTTCTGCAGGAGAAGTCCCAGAGCTCCACCACTCGCTCTCATACCTCCCCTTGCCTAACCTGAGTCCTTCTTCCTGCACAGGCAGCCCCTTGTTCTTTCTTAGTCCTTCCCGAAGGCCAGGAAGAGGGAATTACATAGAGAAATTCCTTTCCAGATAACATCCATCCTGCAACCTGAATCATTACATACAAGGGGACTTCAAAAAATTCATGGATAAGGGGAATTTAAGTGCGTAAGATGGGTAGTTTCCATATGAACTTTCTGAAGCTCCCTCGTACAAAGTCATCCTTTAGACTTTGCCATTAACTGTCTTTCTTGATTTTAAAAAAATGCTGTTTGGTTGAGAATGTATGCAGCCAAACATACACCAGTTGAGCCATTTCTATATGTACAATTGAGTGCCAAAGATCGCCTACTTTGAATGGTGCAACTAGTCTCACCTTTTCCTGACTTGTTCCTCATTAAATCACTACCTCTCCTAGATTATCTTTTGATAGGCGATCGTCATTTTGATTCCATACAGA